AAGTGATGAAACCACTTCACTTAGAAAACCTACATTCTAAACTCAGCATCCAAAGCTGCATTAATGATGTGGTTTCAGACAAGAGACTTCAAGTAGGGATGGGTTACTGTATGATGAGGACAGTTAACATCCACACATTAACATTGATGCCAACTGGCATCATCAAAGAAAATGCCTAAAAGAGGCAGCAAATCCATACTAAGACTGGAAAATTAAAAGGTTGGAAAAATATATCAAGATGAAGTAAACAGGAGACTTTTAAAATATTAATTTAAGAAATGGATTAAACATAATTCAAAACCATTTATTATGTTTAGCTATATCCACCTTAATATATGAAAAAGATTAATTTCTAGTTCTGCATACTCTAGCAAGTTTTAACAGAAAAGAATTTTCTCCTATTTTAAATTTGGTACAGTCTCATTCCTCTTTATATTTTGTTCTGATTGCTGTCCAAAAATGTATTAACTAAGCTGGGCACAGTGGCATGCACCTGTAATCCCAGATACTTGGGGGTTGAGGAGGGAGGATCACCTGAGCCCAGGAGTTCGAGACCAGTGTGGGCAACATAGTGAGACCTCATCTCTAAAAAACAATAAAAAATAAAAATAAAAATGAAAATCTCATTAGACAAACTCTCCAACAATTTTGTAAAGGAAAGAAACTCCACATTTTTTTCCCTCAACCTCTTGCACCTAATCATAACAGCTACCATTTGTTGAGAGTCTATTAAAAGTCAGGCACTGTGCCAAGCATTTTAAATACATCATCTCTAACCATGCAACATAGACATTATCACCCCCATTTTACAGATGAGAATCTCGGAAGGGAGATGAACTGCCCATGGGCACACAGCTTCTTAATAGCACCATCAGAATTAGAATTCAGGCCTGCTTGACTCCACAGTCCATGGCTCTCCCAGTACTCCCACTATTCCATGCTGTCCCATTTACACATAGGCTCTTTCAGGCTTAATCAAATGCAAACGCCAGAGAAAATCAGTATGAACAAATCTATTATTTTCTCTTTTTTCTTCAAATGGAGTTTGTGTGTCAGAAACGTTTAATGAAATCCATGACAATTGTACAGGATTCTTAAATACTGCCTCCCACCAAACTGAAATGAGATGACTGTTTAATTTTGAAACTATAAGAATAAACATCGCCTGTTCACTGGATAAAGGTTTTTGTCACCAAACATGCTATTTATAAGTCCCATT